TTTTTTCTTCTACAGGGATTTTAGTGAATGGTCAGCTTATTGGTGCAAAGAAGCCTCAGAATGGAAAACTAAGAACCTATTTTGGAAAACTGGGATTTTATTTCCAAAATGAAGATCTGAAAGTAGAAATCAACACTGAGACCATCACCCTGAGTCGTGGTTCTCATACATCCATCTTGTCCTGGTCTGACACAGCTCACATCATTAATCAGAGGCAAGTATTACTCCATCTAAATGGATTCCTGTCTTTGAGGCATGGCTGCACAAATAAATCCAAACATCAACATCAACACAGAATTTAAAATAATCATTTTAAGCATAAGGAAGTCAAGGCTCAAGAAAGTTGTTCTTACCTACCATACTCTTCCAGGTAGCTTTTTCGTCACTACTATGTCTCAGTGCCTGGCATACAGAAAGTACACAATATATGCGTTGGATCAGTGAACAAACTCATCAACCGAAATCCCCAGCTGACTCTGTCAGGGAGCCTGCTCCAAGCCCCATGTGTCTTACCAATTAGTATCTGTTAATTGATGGTTTACCTATAAACATGAAAATTGACAGAATTTTAGAGCAGGTATTTAAAAGAACAGCATTCTGAGGGCTGGGAATATAGCTCAGTTGGTAGAGTGCTTGACTCACATGCACAAGACCCTGGGTTCAATCCCCAGCACCACAAAAACAAACAAACAAACAACAACAACAACAACAAAACCTCCAGCATTCTGTAGCAAACACATGGGAAAGCTCTTAAAACACAAGGGGAATTGTACTGGGAGGAGTGGAGAGTATATATTGGGGGTGAGAATGACTTGCTAAAGAAGTCTCTTCTGGAATCCTTTCCTTCCTTGTTGACTTTCACACTAGGGTGCTTGTCTCTGTGAAGAAAGAAAAAACTGTGACTGTGACCCTGGATAAGGAGATATCCTTTTCTGTTCTACTGCATCGTGTTTGGAAGAAGCATCCAATCAACGTAGACTTTCTGGGGATCTACATTCCCCCCACAAACAAGTTTTCCCCTAATGTGCATGGACTTTTAGGTAAATTGTCTCTTACCATCGGGCATATGCTGGGCCACTCTGTCTTTAGTGACTTGGATGAGGGTCGTTAGAAGTTTCGTGAAGACAGCACAATTCACAATAGCTAGACTGTGGAACCAACCTAGATGCCCTTCAATAGATGAATGAATAAAAAAAATGTGGCATTTATACACAACGGAATATTACTCAGCACTAAAAAATAACAAGATCATGGCATTTGCAGGGAAATGGATGGCATTAGAGCAGATTGTGCTAAGTGAAGTTAGCCAATCCCTAAAAAAAAAAATGCTGAATGTCTTCTTTGATATAAGAGGGGTGACTCAAAATGAGATAGAGAGGAAGAGCATGAGAAGATTACCACTAAATAGGGAAGACAGGTGGAAGGGAATGGGAAGGAGAAGGGGAATTGCATGGAAGATGGAGAGAAGCCCTCATCGTTATACAGAATACATGTATGACGTTGTGAGAAGAAAAAAAAAGAAGTGTGTCACATTAGATTGCGTAGAGAAATGTGATGGGAGGGGAGAGGAGGGGAAGGGGGGATAGGAAGGGCACCAGAATAAAATAGAGATTATTATTGCTGTATGTATACAGGTGACTGTATGACCAATGTGATTCTGCAACTTGTACAATCAGAAAAATGAGAAATTATACCCCATTTGATTCAAATGTATGAATTGTCAAGATCATTGTACTGTCTGTCATGTGTAACTAATAATAATAATAAAAAAAAAAGAAGTTGGGAAGAGAACAGATGTGGACTCAGGAGTAGAGGACCCATAGAATGTGGTGACTCAGGAATAAGATGGCCAGGGCCATTCATCTTTCCAGACAGGGGCATCTAGGGCCAGGGTTTCAGCATCACAAACGGGGCAAGTTAAGAGAAGACTGTTTTGTAGTGGAAGGGAGGTGAACTAGTTTAGGAAGTCTTTGATAACAAGTAGAACATCCAGGGACTACATTCCCTGGTATTTTAAGAGTTCAAATGTACATCACAGACATGTTCCTATGGTTTGACCTGTGCTCTCCGATGCCGACCTCACCCCTGTCCTCACCATCACTTGGGTGGTTTTGCTAATAGTCCAGTGGGTCAGCCTCATGTATAAAAAATGATCATGGGAAATCATTTTCAGGAAGAACCCTTCCCTCCCTTTGCTGCTTCTTTTACCTCTCAATATGTCTTTCTACCCTAGAAATTCTGGAAGGAGGACCAAAATGTCACTTGGATCCAATGAAACTTTGGATTACATGTAAATTAATGTCTGGACTTTGTTTTGCTAGGCCAGTTCATGCACGAGCCAGAGATACACATCTTCAATGAGAGACCAGGAAAGGACCCTGGGAAACCAGAGGCAAGCATGCAAGTGAAAGGACAGAAGCTGACTGTCACCAGGTAGGCCTCGGATGCTTATGCAGTGATGAAAAGGGTTCCCTGTTGGATTGGACTTATGCAGCACAAGAAAGAGTAAGAAAAGCTGTCAAACTCAACAACGCATCAGGAATAGACACATACATATCATTTCCATAAGGACACTTCGATGGCCTACCTTAAGTGTCAATAATGACTATAAGTGTGCATTAGGAAATGCCAAGATTAATGAATCTATTGTTCTCATCTTCATACATTGGAAGCCCTCTGCTCACAAGTTGGATAACTGAAAAAGTTAACCAAAGGAAGGAATCATAAAAATACCCATGAGCCACAGTGTGGAGAACGAAAGTATATTTTTATGTGAGCCTTCTTTTTGAGTATGGATTTACTGAATTCATTTTTGTGTAGCTATTCTTACACAAATCATATCCATATGCTTCAATTTGAAGTGAGAATTTATAAAACATTCTGAGTGTTACGAGTTATAAAACTTGTAAAATCTTTATAAATTTTCCCCAGTCTTCTCATCCATGCCTAATTTGACACCATTTTAAAGCAGTTTTTGTCTTTTTAGAGTTATTATAAAGCAGCCAACTTTGCTTTATTAAAAATGACTCTTCCTAGCTGGCTGCTGTGTACATGCCTATAATCCCAGTTACTTGGGAGACTGAGGCAGGAAGATGGCAAGTTCGCTGCCAACCTGGGCAACTTAGCCAGATTCTGTCTCGAAATAAAAAAAAATAAAAATAAAAAGCTGGAGATATAGATCAGTGGTAGAGCACCATTGGGTCCAATCCTCAGTAGGAGAGAAAAAAAAAGACTATTCCTGCACATACATGTTATTGGCTTTCACATACTCAATCAAATCATAACATTGCAATAATTAGGCCATAAAATTATAAGTGCCACCACAAAACTAAATTTGTGGACCAAACAGGGATTCTTGGTTTGGACTACTCAACTTGTTTTGGTTCATTAGATAGAGAACAGTGAGTTCCCAGTGGGCAGCAGCAAGCGTGATGGCCAAGGGGTAAGCACCACAGCAATCAATCACATGAAGCTCGGTAAAAGAGCATCTATTCTACAAGAGGCTGGTGCTGGGCCTCAGCTTCCCCTACTGAAAGTATCTCATGATTCATAATTGAAGTAGAGTTGACCTGTGGGCTGCAGCTGTATACTTTTAAGGCTCATTAATAGCAATGTGCTGTATACCTTTCCAAATCATTGACTTTTTTTGTCCTTCAAGTGAAGGACACGAATTTACTTAAACAGCAGGTATCACTCTCAAATAAAATATTTATCCTAAAGTCCGAGGTCCCTCAGATGCATTCTTGAGTTAATGTGAGGTTAGTCTACAACTTTTGGGGATTGTATTCCTGTCTTTCCACTTGCATTAAATGACTGCTCTCTACTTTGCCTGAAGGATTCACAGGGGTCAACCTGTGTAAGGATTCCTTGAATAGTAAAGACACACTGCTTAATCTCTGTCCTTCTAACAGCCATGTCCAGACTTGACATGTCATACAACTCGGGGAGCAGGAATACAGTAGGGGTGGGCAAGATAATGGTAATAAAAAAGCACAACAAACAGCATGGAAAAGAGGGTGTCTTGTTTCTTGCTATGCCTGACTGGAGTGCCTGGTCTGTTCCCTAATCGTGTGTACCATTTTCCTTGCAGGGGATTCCAGAAAGACTACAGAACAGATATAGTGTTTGGAACAGATGTTCCCTGTTGGTTTGTGCACAACAGTGGCAAAGGTTTCATCGATGGACATTACAAGGACTACTTTGTGCCTCATCTCTATAGCATTCTTAAATGGCCTTAAAGGTTTATAGTTTTGAAAATTCTACATATAAATATACATTTTTCCCTGTCACTTTTGCAGTCATTCCTCAGTTGAATAGTTAAAAAACCCCAGGTGCCATGGAGGTTTATAAAGCCTGTTCAACATATCTGAAGAAAATAAATATTTTGCAATGAAGCCTTATGATTCTGTTGCATTTTTCAGATGCTAAGGTGTATTAATTGAGTGATGCAAAGTACTGTGCTTTGGCAAGTCAGGGTGGCATCTAGACAGAGCCCTAGATTTGGCATTTACTGTGATAATTTCACTAGTGTTGAATGTCAGGTCCTTGACCTTGCAGATGGAGAATATTTTTTACACTGTTAATCACATAGGAAGTTCAATTACGAGGTTATTTGTGAACATGGAAAATGAATATGGGAAGTTGCTTGATCTTAGTTGCTTTGTGGAGATTTATACTAGAAACCTGTCACTCTTGGTAGGGACAATTTTATCAAGGGAGCTGAGATGACCTGATGTACTTTGTTAGGATTCCCTTCATGGTGTTGGCCCTTAACATCCTTTCCAGTTCATGAGGACTGGATATCTCGGCATTCTAGAGAAAAATAAAACCTATAGAAATTTATTTTTAAAAACTGGCTTAACCATCTTTAGGACTTATGTAACCTATAGTCAAAGCTTTTCCTAAATATCAATCACACAGTCACCATAAAAATAATTAAATATATGTCTTACTGTCAGGAAAATGCAAGCCTTATGTTTATGAAAAAACAGAGTAATGGTTCAGATCATGACCTTGGTCACAGTTTGTTTGCTTGTTGTTTTACACAATATCTTTATTTTATTTATCTATTTTTATGCAGTGTTGAGGATTGAACCCAGCACCTCGCATGTGCTAGGCTAGTGCTCTACCGCTGAGCCACAGTCCCAGTCCCAAGTTTGTTTGTTTTTAAATTAGCTTTAAATTACTGTGCTTTTTAATTACTGAAAATTAAACAATTTTTTTTTTAGGGTTGGAAACAGTCCATTCAAAGAAATGAATAAATTAACACAATTCAAAAGCATCACAGTCAACGTGTAGAAAAATGAACTAAGAATCAGGAGTGATTTTGGTGTCTGCTGGTTTATGTGAGTCACACTACATACTCTTAAGGATCACTTAATACATGAAGTGGCATCTTTTACCCAACGGCATTTCTTGTAGAAATAGATAAAGCAATCATGAAATTCATATGGAAAAATAAAAGACCCAGAATAGCAAAA